AAGAGCTAATTTTAGTCATAAACTAATGCTATCATGATTAAAATTGTAACAGGAAAATGATCACAGAATAAGTGTGTCGAAACTTTGCAAATTATTCTCATACAACATAAGCATCGAGTAACTTTGTCCATTATGGACTGGAATATATTTGAGACTGCACAGGCCTTGTCAAAACGCTGCTCATGATGTCCAAATGATGGGATTCTGCCTAAAAAGTCTACAAGAGGCCTCAGAGCGAGGGATGAGCTCAGCACCATTTCATTTTCCACAGCTTCACGTAAGCTCTTCCCATGACATCCCAGTTATTTTCTTGTGGAGCTGTTACCCTCCATAACTGCCCTTTCCTGAGGTGTGGGGACGCTGGGATTTCCAGTCCAGCAAGAATTCAGAAGTTATTTGTGTGCATTAAAATTACCTTTAGTCTGTAATATTTTTTTTTGCTTCCTAATTTATTTTTCCCCCTTAAGTCTTTCAGCTGGATCGGTTTTTCTATTTTTTGAAGCACCACTACCAGCAGCCGGAAAAGGCTTCCCAGACTTAACCAAGGACTGCGTCAGCCCCAGGAGCACCCAACCTCCACTGCACTGACCAGGGCTGGAGATCCAAGTCTGATGGAGGAGGCTGCAGAGGGCCAGCAAATCCCCCCTCTGAGGGGTAAAGATCATTTTAGGAACGTTTGCCTTAGACAAGGGAAAACCCTTGGCTGCAAAGGTCGCAGATTGAGTAATTATTATCCCCTTAAGTAAAGCAATAAAGTTGCAGCAGAAAATTAGGAAAACTTGGATCAGACTTCGCTATGAGACCCCTGAAAGAATCCACATTTCCAAGGCTGACAGAGTTATTAATTCATTTTAAACAAATTTGATTAAAACCCGTCCTATGTGAATGGCAGCGTCTTCCAAGCACATTGTTAAACGTTACAAACAGAAAGCACTTAATACTTACAAGCTTATATTAAATTGAATTTGCAGCTCAGGTTGGAAGAACAACTTCTATTCCAGACTGAGCTCTTTATCCTTCAACATTTCAAACGAGACACTTCAAGCAAGTATATATAACGTATTTCTCTTCTCCTGGGGGTACTATGTCTGTTAAAAATGTCATTTGTTTGCCTTTTTCCTCACATTTAGATTTTCTTGTACGTTTGCCTGACAGATTAAGGAAACCTGTAATTACATATTAATACCTGTATTAATATTATAACAATTAATACTTGCCTGTGCAAGTATACACCAGACATCTCTGAAACTTCTTTATCAGAGGCTTTTGAGGACACATTTTAAAAGCTCCAATTGTCGTATCATAAATGTATGACAAAATGTATATTAGATGTTTAATACCTTTATCTGGTCACACTTGTACGTATCAAATGGTTTAAACTAATGAACAACATGCAGCTCTACTCTAGGATTTTGGCACCAGGTGTAAATCCATCCAAACTCTATCCTCTGACAAGCAGCACCAGAGGAACTCAAGAGCAGTGTCGTTCCTTTTCCTCCTTTACATGAGCTTCTTCTACACTGAAGCCAACACAAATTCCACAGTGAGAGGTAAAACCAGGTTCCACTTTGTATTTCTAGGCAAAGGCTTCAGTCAGTACCTATAAAAAACCTTATGGTATCAGTCTCTCTAAATCAGGAAAGTGATTTTAATAACAGAAAGAGCAAAAATAAGTCAAAGGAGTGGTACAGGAGAACACAAGCTGACATTTTGTTAAACTACCAAGTAGAAAAAAGATGTAAATGAAGCAGCTACAGACAGCAAGTGCTGTCTTCACATACAGCATTCCCACTCATCTGTTCAGCCCAACACACTTTACTTCCATCACGTTCCTGTGCTCTCTCCTTTTCTCCCTCCCGAGCTGCATCCACTCGCTTGATTTCTCATCTCCAGGACGTTTCTGGGTTCCCTGACTGCTGCTCATCCACACAACCATCACCACCCCTCAGCTCTGCCTGGGACCTCCTCAGTCCCCTCTGATCCCCTTCCCCTGGGGACGGGTGGCTCTCAGTCCCTCTCCTGTCCACCACTGACCCCCAGTGGCTACAACCACATTTGCTCTGGCTCCTTGCTCCTGACCGCTGCTGCTGCCGTGGAATGAGGCTTGGATGTCGGGGCATCTGGCAGCAAACAGGACTCAGAGTTGTGTGACCAGGCTTTCATGGCCACTGATTGTCAAGCTATAATTGAGGTACGAAGGAGCCTCTGGAAGTCACCCGGTTCAATAACCCCAGCTTGGACCAGTTCAGACTGCTCAGGACTTTATCCAGATAGGCAGAAATTCCTCAGACTGACTGTTACTCTCATTTCCCCCAATATTTAATGAGAATTTCCCTCGTAACAGCCCCTGTCCAAGTCCAACCAGCGCAGTTACGCAGGCAGAAGAGGAGGAAGAGGCAGCGATTCTGAGAGAGGAGAATCCCCCTGAGACCCTGTGCAACCTCCCCGCAAGGGACACATTTGGGTCTGTAAATCCTGTCCCCACACCTTTGTGTAAGGGTGGAGAGGGATCAGACCCCATTGTAGTGTAATGTAAAGTTACAAACAACAGCAAACCCCAAAAACTCACCTTGGGAATACGAGAACTCGTCAAGTTACAAAATCCCACATAGTTTTTCCTTTAGCTTTACCGTGCAGAATGCAAAGCTCTCGGATGAGCCCATACAAGTAACTATTCTCTCCACACCACCACCAGTTTCACTGCTTGAAGAGACCTAGCCTGTTCTATTTAACATTAAATCCTTATTTGGAAGACAAACTAATTAAATTTAAGCATTTATATAATGTGATTTTAAGCTGACCATTATTTAAACAGTTGCTAATCAAGCACGTAGAGCTCCAAAGAACAAAAAACCCCCGCTGCATGTGACAAAATGCCAATAACAGAATTACCCAAACTGAATTCCAGACAGATCGCTCATCACTTTTTCCAAGAGTATTGATTCAAACATTAAAGCAAACATTCACCTAAAGTTTTCCACGCATGCCACTCTTTCACCTCTATCCAGACGTTAAGTAAAAATCAACTATTTCATCATTAAAGCAGTACACATACCAAAAATGTACCTGAATGCAGGATATTTGGGAAGTTTTGAGCTGTCTTCAACGTTCCATTGGTTGCATTGATTTTAGAGCTGGTCTAGCACTCAGCACGCCAGTACCAGTGAATAAGCCTAATGCATTACGTAAGTGTAAGCTGATTAAACCCTTGATCCTGAAGCCACCTCTTTTTCCCCCTCCCCCCCTGATTGGTACAACTGAAAATCTAAGTTTTACACACTTTCAAAACCTAATTTGTACCATTTTTGGCATAAAACCCACCACAATTTACATTCATAAAACCTCTCCAGGTTTTAGTCTTTCTTGTGTTTTAATAGTTTCCTAAACCTGATAAAAGCCCCTGTTGAAGCGATGAATTCCCTAATAAATTTTATTTTTGTGCCCAAACTTCTGTTGTTTTTTAAAAATCTACACCAAATGACACACAGGCAGCAGTGCTATCCAAGCTACCAGGTCTGAGCTGTATCATACAAATAAATGAACAGCAAGTTGAACTAAACACAAAGCCACGCTATCCTAAACTTCGCTGCTGCCAAGAAGTGAGATTAGAAGGTACACGGCGCGTGCCAGCCCTGATTTCCACATACTCTGTCCCAAAGGAAGGGTACGTGCTGTGATCTACACCGAGGAACATCACCAAAGAGCTGCAGAGCTCCCACCTCCCCGCATTGTCCCGGTGACAAAGGGACAGGATAAAGGGCGCGGGCAGTAGCGGATATCGGCCGCTGCTCTGCAAACAGGGCCGTGGAGAGCAATAATACACGATTAGCTGCTCTGAATGGGGAAAATGCCTTCCAGCAGGCCCACACGCCAGACAAAACCCGCTGCAAACTCACCGGATAACTTTGCTGCCGCGTATTTTGTGTGTACGTGTGGGAATTCCAGATGCCATTATCAGGCAATACACAAGCCCAGAATTGCTCAATCTGCACAATTATTTTTAACATTTTAGTCCTTTAAGACATCTCAGCTTGAACAAGCTGATCTGTTTGCTTTTAAACTTTTTAAGTGTTATTTTCCCCTGAGAAAGAGCCCTGTGTGTTATTTGGAAATTGCCAGTGACTCAGAGAGCCAATACAACCATGAATTGGTGAGCTCACCTCTTTTTATTGACATTTGAAAATGTTTAAAATAGTCAACTAGAGCCCTAGCGCCTCAGCAGAGGCAGCAGGATGGCTCTGAGCACATGAGAGCAGAAATAGCTCTGCAGTCTCCATTAGTATTGAGGATGAGGAGAGAAGAAAGTAAAGTGAGCTTCAATTCAGGAGCAGGTGGCTTTTAAGCCATGATATTTTGAAAGAGATGTACTATGGTTTACTTGTAAAATAGATGTTCACACCAGAATTCACCGTGTGCCACCAAACAGGTTGCCTATGCTATGTAATACTTATTTTAAATTACAAACCTAGTAATATTTTAGTAAAAAAAATAGCCATAGAAATTAGCTGAGTATAAAGCATAAAAACCAGTATAAAGAGGTGGCTCTGAGGGGAATGAAACCCATTCTACCAGCAGCTGAAAACATCCTGACCCATAGAGACATTCTTGTGTTTTAACACAGAGGCTATGTCACGAATCCACCCCAGTGAGGTAACTCCAACAAGAGCAGCTGTCTGGACAGGCAATGTAGCATGAAAGAATAACGTAGCTGGTTTTTTTCTTCACACAGGATAAGACAGAGGAAGACAGATTGGGAAACGCAGTAATTAATAAAACTCTGGAGGGTCCTCAGATCACGTAAGTGACAGAAAATTTAGAGTAGTTCACAAAACAGCCACATTCTCTCATTCACGTTAGAACAAAACCAAACAATCGAAACAGGACAAGATCTCCACATTTTTCACCAGTTCTCACCATAACAGAGCTTGCAAAACAAGAATTTCAAAGACATCAAATATTTGAGTGGGACTGAGCCAACTCCTTCAGGATTCATTACCTACCCCATTCTCAGCGCGTTTCTCCATGGGTAGATTTATGCCATTTCTTTGGTTCTGGCCTTGACGTCCACCTGAAAGTAGAGCAGTGCTGTCAGTGCAAAGTTCACTTTGCAACACAAATGGTTTCACTCTTGAATCTGTTCTTTCTGAGCTTTTTTACAAAGCTTTTACCTGAGATTTTTTGTTCTGCTAGTTCCAACTCTTTTTTATTCAGTTTTTCTTTGTAAGCAGTGGAGTCAGCAGAAGTAACAGGTTTATGGCACAGATTTCCTGTTAATGGGACAGACGTGCAGCTCTACCTGTGTGCAGGCAGTGATTTCAGAAGGGACTGAGTGCGACTATGGAAATCTCATATTTCTGTGCCCACAAGTGGCAGCAGCTTCAGTTGAGCACATTATAAATGAATATAGCAGAGGAAGCTTTTCCAGCGCCTTATAAACAACTTAAATGTACGAACTGATCCATAGGTCAGTGATTAATTAAAAAAACCTTGCATGCATGGTTTAGAAGCGACAGTTTCCTTGTATGTGAAACTCTGTGGCTTCAGATGTATCTTAAATTTGTTAGCACACTTGACATTTGTATTCCCAAAGGATGACTGAGCATTTTACAAAGTACCTAATGAATACAAAAATCTCTCCTACATCACTGGGCCTGCTATTTCTGGCGTTCAAAGCACCCAGCAAGCACTCAGAAAAACTGAAAGAAACGGCAGCTCAAAGCAATACGGCCTGAGCCAAGACCTGAAATTTGGCTGTCAGCAGCAGTCAGATGAGCTGAACGAGTGCGGATAATCTGAGCAGGCAAAAATACATCTCGCTTCCAGATTTGCCTTCCCTGTCCCTCAGTCTGACAGCCATTAACACAGCCTCAAAGCCGTCTCATAAATGAAGTCCAGTCTATACCAGTTAGATCAGAAAACTGAAATCCCTCTATTTCTTTATTCCAGTCTTTTAAGAAAGCCCCACTTAATACAGCAGTTTTATAGAAATGCTATTCCAGTAGAACCAAGCAGACCAGCAGTTTTCAAGGTGCAAATTAGCACCGTGTTAAATATCTCTACACAAAGTACTGAGAAAGTAAAACCCCTGAGAGCTCTGCCAATGATGGCTGCAAAGTAGAATTTAGTTTCTAAAGGCGACAGAGTAGTTTACTGAGTCCTTTCTCTGGGGCAATTAAAAGAACAGGAGGTCAAAAAGAACAATCCCACCCTCTCAAAATGTAGGGATTTCCTCTTAACAACAACAAAATGCATTAAGCCTCTAATACCCACCAATATTTTTGGATGGGTATTAAGCAGAATAGAAACCAATCTTACTACAAAAATATTCCTCAACAGACTGGTAGAAATTACTCTAGGGAAGGGAATTTGAGGACATGAGTAAATGTGCCACTGAGGAAGGTTCAAAATGGCTTTGTCACAAGAAGTTTTATCACATGTATCCACTGAAGTTCACTGAAAGAACTGATAACCAGCAATGGTTTACGTACGTGTAGGTAGCCCCACCAGAGGGAACTGCACTTACTCTGCTCATTGCTTTCGGCTGGTGACTCCTCGTGACGAAGAAAAAACTTCACCTCTTCCCTGCGGGGCCCCCATTTCTGCAGGTGGTCGAACATCATGTGGTCAAAGGGAATGGGACGCTCTGCAAGCACAAGACCAAATAAAACCTTATCACAGCTATTTTACATTAAGCTCAGTTTTACACAACTCTCATTAGGCATCAGGACGTCTTTTTTAATGTAGCAATTCAATCTCTGCAATGTGTTTTATACAAACTGAGGGGAACAGGCACCAACTGCTGAACAGCAGAACCTGACCACTTCGCAAAACCATACAGAAAATATCAGTGTTCAGAAAACCCAATTCAGGAATTCTCCATCCCAACCTGTTCCACAGCGCTGATCTCTGCACCTTTGCTCCCCAGCACCACCATGGATATTCCGTGCTGTTATTAAACGATTCATTCAGGCTGCACCTCCGGGTTCTCCCTGGCACTGAAAGCCTTAGCAGTGTATTGACATTTCTCCTCCCAGGATGTGAGCAGGTGCTCCCACCCCAACACCCCACACCAGACATTAACTCCCAGTGCATGTGGAATTACTGGCAAATATTTGAGCAAACACAGGCTAAGTTCAGTGCAGCAGGCTCTTTGTTTCCCCCCAAAGAAATGTAAAACACTGTCATAGTGTAGTTATTTCTTTCAAATTGATCAAATATGTTCTTACTATGAGGCTGCACTCTATATATTTAATAATTCAAAATGAAAATCCATATGAAAAGCAAAGTTTTCACTGTTTTCATCATTTTACTTGCATTTATTTTTAAATGTTTTCATTAAGGTAACAAAATCTCCCTTTTAAGATCTAATACTAAGCACACTATTAAAAGGTATTCTCTAATCAGAAGAAAATTATACCAGAAGAGATTTAATGAGCTTTCCTAATCAGTCAAACAGATATTGCTACAGAAAATCATGCCTGAATGGAAACCAGAAGGTGCAGTTTGCACTGTTATTTGTAAAAAGCAAAACGCTCTCTGTCCCCACAACCCAAAGCACTTCCAGGCACAGCACCGCTACCAATTTGTTATCCACTTCATATTGAACCCATTCGATATGGGAAGACAAAATAATTCAAAGACGTAAAAGCTTGGGAAAACCACATCACAAATACTGCTTTTCATAATGACATTTACCTAAATTTGTATGTATTCTGAACAACAAAAACATACGTCCTGATACTCAGTTGTAGAATTTAAAGAACACACTTGCATCACTTGATTCACAACACATTTAATACAATGAAGTGTCTGCCAAAATCCATCACATCAAACAGGTACAGCCATTAACAGAGTTTAGCCACAGGTGGGTCCAGCAGCTTTCGGTGGGGAAGGGACATTTAAACCACAAGTTAATTCTGTTCATCAGCTGATTGCTTACCCAGCTTGCCTAAAAAACCCCACAACAAATCACAGCATCTGGATTTAACAAAAACAGATGCTTTTCTTTTCTTTTTCTTGTTCCTCAATCGAGTGGACTCCAAGAAACATTGTCAGTGTGTTTATGCACCCAAGAATAAGGTCAGTGGCTTTTTACAACTCAGTTCTTGAAAAGGAATTTCAGAAACACGATTTTCAGGTTTTTCAACTCCTGAAGTCAGGTGAGATTTCAAGCCCTTTGAAGCACATCCACTAAAATTGCAGCATGAGTCTTCTAAAGATCACAGAGTGTAAAACTATTTAAATGGCTTAGTTCAGAGACTGTTGGACACAGAAGATAAGGATCTTTAGGGATTTTTCCCAAATTGCGGGGTAAACCTAGTGAGAACTGAAGCTTGACAACAAAGTACCAAGAACCCGGATGTGTGACCAGGGCTGGGCTCACTCGGAGAGGAGAGGAGAGGAGAGGCTGCAGCATCGCCCCTCGTTAGGGCGGTCTCCCGTTACCTGTCTCCCATTAAACGTAAGGCCCTGACCCCAGGAGCTATTCAAAATAAAAGGTTTCATTTATGTAATGTACCCTGAAGAATCAAGGCTAATGATTTTCAGATATGACCACGGACAGAAATGGGAAAGTTGTTTTCTACTACTTTTGCGATTCTTCCACAAAAGCAATGTGGGATATGCTGTCCTAAATGTGACAGAAAATGGGTTAAAATAATAAGAGCAACATCATCACCACTGAAACAGGGAAAAGTGAAGCAGCACTCATCATTCTGTGCAGCAAAACTGACTGAGAACAGAAAGAGGAAGAAGGAAGGGACATGAACACTTGACACAAGATGTGATGGGAATTGAAGTCCCCACTCCTTCCTTTAAATCCCTTCCTTGAAACCTTCCCATTCAGACAAGTGGCAGGAAGACAGCACTGTAACACAAACACAGTCAATGTGCTGTAGGTCAGGACATTTTCTGGAAATCTCAGTTCTTCCAGAACCAAAACCCAGACAAACAAAACCCCTGCAGCTGAACCTTTCCCAGTTGTCGGAGGTTCAGATGTATCTGTCAGTAACTGCTTTCACAACACTATTTCAAACTTCAATTTTCATTTTGTAAAGTTTAAATAGAAGAGAATGAAGAAAAGGTGAAAAGGTGAAACAGGAGGATGGGTGTAGAGTAATAACAGGTTGGTAATCTGTTTTAATAACATGTTAAAAAATTACCTAGAGAACGTTTGTTTTCATGACTAAGTGGAAAACCATGATATCTGCATTTATCCCTCATTACTGCAAAAACTGCCTGAGATTTTAAGCTGGATGAAAATGGAGAACTGAGCTTGACTCCTTTTCTTTTAAGCAAACGTTCTGGAGATGGGCGAGCTTTAAGTGTTCTGAAGTGACCGAAACACCCCGAAAGACCAAAACACATCAGTGGTTCAGAAGAGCATTGCAAAAATCCTTCTGTTGGAACTCTATATCCACTGTTTAAAACAAAGCAAGTTTCTGAATTCAGAAGCTGCTTTTGTCCCGATTCCCAGTCCCCTGCTGTTTGCAATTACACATTTGTGCCTGCTGGACATGAAACCAGAACACAAAGCCATGGATTATCTCCATAGCGGGGAGTTCACTGCAGTGAGGATGAGTCTGAGGTTTGCACAATTACACTCGTAGTAAATGCTGCTGCTTTCAGTCACTTGTGTCTGTGTTACAACTAAATTCAGGAAGAGCAATTAATACAAATAACTGCAGGGCATTCCAGATGTAAATGAAGAGAATAACTGGGTACTGGGTGGATGTAAAGGTTGAAATCCATTCTGTCTTGAAACCTACTGCAAGTTCCTCGTGTCACCCCATCTCTCGCCCTCCTCACCAACTGAGGAATGAGGAAGAATATTTCATGGTCTGTTTTTTTCTCCTGTTACAGCAAGAAAAATCTGTGCAAAAAGAAGCAGCTTCAAATTGGCAAAGCCCAAGGTGCTACAAAGTGTACTGATGCATCAGGCATGAATGCTATTGACTTCAACTTTTGCTCACCTCAACTGTTACTCAACTGGAAAGGAGGGAACAGAGACTGAAATCCAAAACTCAAAGGCAAATAAACCGAATGCTTACACCATGCAGCTCTGAGAAGAGGCAGCTTCTTACCTCTAATACAAACAACACCTCAACTATTTTACAGCTCTTGGGTAGCTCCTCAATCATTTCTTTGCCATGCAAAAGCAAACAGAAAAGCTAACATAATAAATCAGCAAATATATTTTCCAACAGCAAAGCTATCGTAAACTTCCTCTGAACTCCAGAAATCTTTCATATTTTTTGAAGCCAAGCTTGCATGGATTCTAGTGACATTTTTCTGGAAGACAAACGGTCTATGTCTGTCACCCTCTAAAAATAAAATGAAGTCTTTCTCATCATATACTTTAGGAAATGACCAAGCTTTTGGGCACACAAGCTGGTTTTTGGACCTGATATTAAAACTACAAGCTACAAGGCCCATAGCTTTGAATGTGAACAGACACACATTACTTGGTTGGGTTACTTAGGAGAGCCTGTGGCTACCTGCAGAGCAGAGGAGTTGAGCACATCCACAAGACAACGGGTAAAAGTCCCAGGGTTGAACAAGCTGTGATTTTCTGTGTTAACTTTTGGGCTGGGTTTTACTTTCCAAAGCGCTCTCTGAAAGGGCATTTGTGGACCTCTCTGGAGGAGAGCGGCTGAGGGATCAGAGGCAGCGTGAGAGAGGAGAAAAAATACTTCTCTACCGGCACAACACGCTGCAGTTTCATTGCGCACTGCTTCACACTTCCCACTCAGAAGCATGGTTTAAGTTGGTTGTTGTTGTAACTGTTGCATTTAACCGTTTAGAAGCTTGTTTTCTACATGAGACATCTTCTGCTCCAGGCAAAACT